TCTCTCTCTCTCTCTCTCTCTCTCTCTCTCTCTCTCTCTCTCTCTCTCTCTTTCTGTGCAGTCCCGGGGATTGCACTCAGGACCTTGCGCATGACAGGCATGTGCATGTGCCGCTGAGCTCTCTCCCCGGCCCTGAGGCATATATTTCGTGAGGTACTAGATCCTTAAAAATCAGCGTTCACTGATCATCATTAAGTGTCTGTATTGAACGCTTAAACATCAAATGCTTGAACGCAAGGTGTCATTTTACATAACTTAACATTTGGGGACAGAATCAGTATGCAGAACTAAACATATGAAGAGGAGGCATTAGGAGTTATCAGCCCACCCCTTGGTTTCATAGTAGCTGGGTCAAGGTTCCAGCAGATTTCATGGACTGTATTTGGGCGGGCCTTTGTGTTGGCTTTATCTTTCTCACCCAGAGCTGCCTGAACGTCACTGTACCTAAATTCTCCTTGCACGGCAATCCGATTTCTCTCCCATTGTGCCTTCAGCGTGAGCACACGAGCAGCGCCACGTAGGCTTCTAATGGGGCCCTTCCACACGCAGCCTTCTCTTGGCTTTCACTGGAGAACCTTGCTGGTCGCGATAGACGAATCGAGTCGACCAGGGCATTCTGGTACTGTGGCAGTAACAGCACAGGCGGTAGGTCATTCAGACAAGGGAAGGAGATGAGGGAAAGGGAAACGGTATCTGAGGAAAGAAGTTTGTTTCTCGCTGGGCAATTATTTTCACAAAACCGATCTCAGCAGCATTTTTATTCCAAAGCAAGTGGAATGTGACAGGAAAACTGTGGGGGAAAAGGTGCGTTTAAACCCACACAAGACCATGCTCAAGTTATCTGGCACGAAAGAAGTGGTTTATTGGTGGCAACTAGTATGAGCCGGGCTGCTCAGTGGACCTGAACAGCAGCAGTGGCTGGGGAGGCAGGGACGTTATAGAGCAGGCGGGAATGGAGAAGGGGGTCATGAAGTGTCCCTGGCTGGGCCAGGGTGTGCTGGGCACAGAGTATAGAGTCCTTGAAACAAGATGAAACAAAGCTACATATGTATATATTTTAAGTTGGAAAACACAGACACTGCGGCAGGACTTGGTCAAGCTGACCTGGCTTTTTTTTTTGAGACGTCTTGCTAACTCACTCAGTTTCCCAGTCTGTGCTTGAACTTGCAATCCTCCTGCCTTGGCCTCTCAGAGTTCTGGAATTATAGGCATGTGCCCCTGCACCTGGCATGGCAATGAGCTTTATTAAAGGCTTTCTTTATTCTGTAAGATTATAATTTTAAGTCAAGAGCAATAGGACCATCTGAAAGGTCAAGCTCAAACTCTACAATCCGAGCTACATGTAAGGCATTTGAATACTTTGAATCCCAGCCACCCTACTATCGTGTGTGTGTGTGTACAGAAAGTCAAACAAGTAAGATCAAACAAAGCTCATCTACTCTTAGTCAACATAACTAAAACAATGTCGATGTTTGTTATTGTCTAAGAATAACAGAGGTCTAAGAACATAAATGTAAAATAAACATATTTTCTTCTTTGAGGTCACATTTCACTTTGACTCTGACATAAGAGATGGTTTCAGTTGTCAGATCAAAAAAAAAAAAAAAATCTCCATGTAGAGGTGATTACCATAGAAACACCCCAGGAGAAGCTCAATGTATTTCAGCAGCGATCCACAATGAAACAAAGCTGAAAGCGGGTAAGCAGACTGGCTTTTGGAATGTCTTTACTTGAAACCAAATGCTTATATCTTACAAAACCATGCTTATGTTCCCAAATGCTTTTTTTTAGTTTACATCATAATTATGGGATAATTCTTGATAAAGCTGATCTGAGTGATGCCTCTTCCTGGCTCCTTGTTCTTTGTAATTTTTTTTCTTGGTTCCAGGAATCCAACTCGGGACCTTGTGCTTGCCAGGCAAGCATTTGTGTGTGACTTGAGCTGTATCTCCAGCTCCTGGCTCCTTGTTCTTAATGGAAAAAACAAAAAACAAAAACCAAAACCAAAACCAAAACTAATGGTTAATTGGGGCAGGTTAGCAATGTTTACCTTCAGCTGGACTAGAGGGACATTAAGAAATAACCACCCCCAAACCATCGTGACGCATCTGTGACGGGCCCCCCTTTGTCAGAATTCAATGGTGAGACAAAGTTTGTAGAATTGAGACAAAGTTTGAGAAGGAAAAGAGGTAAGTAGACACAAGGTTCTTAGCAGTTGAATCTTAAGGAAGCTTTCCGTTCGTATTCATAGAATGGAAGCCGTTTTTTAGTCTGCAGCTTTTAATAAAATGAAAACAAGCACACTGATGTGTTCTTAAAAATGTTTTTTAAGTTTGGCAAAATTACATGTGGAGGGAACGATAATACAGCTGTGGAAACAGATTTACTCTAGAGCAATACAAAATAAATGTGACAGGATCACAGGATTCTATCCCTTAATCGGGGTATTCTTCAGATAATCATTGTTGTAATTTTTAATTTCAGAGAAGGAGCGTAGCAACCCAGAACGACCATACAATTTTTCTACAAGCACAAATATGACCGGTATCAGTGACTGCCTGCTGTGAAGTTATGGTATTTTTTTAAATCAACATTTTTTTTTCTTATGTTCAAGATAGACCTTATTTTATTTTTTTTATAGTGTTTTTTTATTTTTTTTATTTATTATTTGAGAGAGAGAGAGAGAGAGAGAGAGAGAGAGAGAGAGAGTGTGTGTGGTGTGTGTGTGGCCAGCTCAGCCCACCAGGGGGCGGGGCCGGCTGGCATGTGGTGCTGGGGGATTGAACCGCGGTCCCTGATGCCTTGCCAAGCTTGTTCTAAGTAGGTGCTTTAGACCACTGAGCCATCTCTCCAGCCCCAAGATAGACCTTATTTTAAAACACTAGATATTTATAATTCAAATTCTTATAGGAGAAATTGATGTTTTAATTATAAACCACAATAATTTTGTCTACTATTGTATTGGATCTGGCTATAAGTATCCTGGTAATCTCGAAATTTCAGTGTTTTCAAAAGCTCAATCTCAGAACTCAGGTCAGGTATCAGTCAGTTTTTTCGAGGCCTAAATCTCTTGACCTCCCTGCACAGGCTGACTTAGCGGCTCCTCGTGGATTTGTGCTTTGGTCTGTAGCATCTTCTGGAACAGCATGTTTGCCTAGTGACCCAGTTTATCTTTCTGCTAGTTTCTGAGTTCTTTAAAAGAGAGACCGCCTCTTCCTTTATACTTTCCTGACTTTTATGGTTTCTTGCAGGGCATAATTATATAGCCTTTCTGTTTTTGAAATATTGAAAACTCTTTAGATCAAAAGGTCTCCTATTTACATACGAGAAAATCCTTTAAAAATCCACAACGTCAGGGCTGGGCAGATGGCTCAGTGAAATAAGCGCTTCCCTGGCAAGCGCAAGGGCCTGAGTTCAATCCCCAGTTCTGCACCAAAAAAAAAAAAAAAAAAAAAATTAATCCATGACGTTTCATTTTCTCACAGTTCTTTAAGTTGATAATTCTTCTGAGGAGGGGGTTCTCTCGTGGTCTTTATCTCTAATGAAAGATAATTATTTTTCACTGTTGAAAGTCCCAAGAGGAGTGCGGCCCGTGGAAAGACCACAGCCTGAACTCCAGCCGCTCTTCACCATTTCTCCGCGCTTGGCTTTGGACAGCTGCGCAGGCCTGCTGGTGGCGCTGGCCATGAGCTGAGCCCACCTGCCCGGCACTTACACAAAACAATTTCATCAACAGTAACAAGTAAACAAAAAAATTATTTTTTCTTTAATGACATACCAAATAGAGCATTGCACTTAATTTTCAGGGTCGGATCTGTTTATTCTTCTCTTGCTTTTTCCTTTTAATTATAAATGCACATTTAGTTATTAATGTAGCTGGAAAAAAGTAAAACCGTCCAGATGGTGGGCGCTTCACATACTGAAGACAGCAAGCGTCACGAGAAGCGACGTCCCTTACCTCCACAGCACGTAATCTCTGCCACTTGTCACGTTTGTTTTCAGAAAAAATATATGCACCCGAAATTTGGACATTCTTCTTCCTTTTCTGCAGATTATGAATTTACTACATTTACTATTATTTTTGTACTGACCTTTTTCCTACTTGTGTTTTAGAGCTCTGTGTTGCTGCTTACAGTATATTCTCATTTTAATCTATTATTATTATTATTATTACAGGTGAAGGTACAATGTGCCATAATATATTTTCACTGTTTCTCTCAAACTTTAGCTAAAATTCTTTGGTCTTTGAAACATACTGTAGTGAAAAACTTTTTATACAACTCAGTTCCAGGTATACAAGGTAGTATATACTTTTTTACAGAGAAATGGATAGGTAGAAATAACTGCCTGCCTGTCTGCCTTCTATCTATCTCATTTATCTTATCTATCTATCTATCTATCTATCTATCTATCTATCTATCTATCCATCATCTGTCTCCCTATATCTATCTATCCGTCTATCCATCTATCGACTATCATCCGTCTACCTATGTCATCTATCTTTCTATCCATCCATCCATCCATCCATCCATCCATCCATCATCTACCTATATCTATCCATCTATCATCTGTCTATCATCCATCTACCTATCTTATCTATCTACTTACCTACCTACCTATCTCTGTCCATCCATCCATCCATCCATCCATCCATCCATCCATCCACCACCTGTCTATCTATATCTATCTATCTATCTATCTATCTATCTATCTATCTATCTATCTATCTATCATCTGCCTATCATCTGTCTACCTATCTAATCTATCTATCTGTCTACCTACCTACCTCTATCTATCTATCTAGATACCTATCTCTCATCTGTCTATCATCTGTCAGTGTGTCTATCATCTGTCTGTCTATCACCTACCTATCATGTCAAGACAGCAAGCTGCAGGCTGCGGCCTCTCTCCCTCTTCATGGGGTCTTGTGCTTGTGAGCACATCTAATCCGAAGGATCCCACAGAGGCCCCAACTCCAGACACTGCTAACATACAAATTCAAAGATGAAGTCTGTGAGACAATTCAGAGGTTACAGATCATTTACCTTGGGGAGATACAGTCAAGCCATAGCAGTACCACTTGTTTATTTTTGGGTTGTTGATCTCTTTTTATCAGCTTGTATTGGTTCTTTCAAAAATAGGGAAAGTAGCTCTTTGTCATGGATGTGAGTGTGATGGCTCCTCTAGATCATTATTTGTCATTTGTCTTAGCCTCTACTATTTTTATTTTATGCATAAGTTTAGTTTCATGTTGTTAATAGTTTATTGAAGTTTATTTCCCTTCCTCTTATGAGATGCAATTTTTACCTAATCTTATAAAATCAGAGGCTAATTCAGAATGTTCTACTGTCCCAGTGTAATTAAATTTAGAATACTCTTTTAATCTTTACAAATGATTTAGTTTTATTTTTCCATCATAGCTAACATGTATTTTATATTTCATTTTTAATTTCCCAAGCAAAATTTAGAATCATCCTTACTAGTTCTAAAAATATTAGAACTATAGGATAGGATTTAATTAATACATTTATTTAGTATAGCTTGATGTTCTTTTTCTCTAACCAACAAGATAATTTCTTCTATATATTTAGTTATCTATTTATAATTGTCAAACTTTAAGACTCATTCATATTTGTCTTAAAAACTTAATAAATTATTAGTCTGAATACAATATTAGGTATTTATCACTTTGTTCTGTTATAGGAGATTGGGATGTAGCAAAGCTGGCTGGGAGTTTAGGGAACTGGGTTATGGTTCAAAGACCGATCTGCTTAGCATGCAAGAGGCATTGGCTTTAATCTCTAGCACTAAATTAAAAAAAGTAAAAAGATAAATGAACAAAAATATCAGGCATCTAATTTCCCCAAGTGTTTCCTCACTTATAGATATTGCTAGAAGCCTCTAGAGATTTCTAGTGCTCTACTTTAGACACTGCCCGGATAGAACATTAATATACCTACCTGGCTAACAATGCCTCTTCTCGCTCAGTGTCATTCTATGACACACAGCATGACATGCTGCTATTTCTGAGGTAGTTTCAACGCACAGCTCAAAAAAACACAAAATGAAAAATAATCATAAAAAATAAAAATAGTGATTTAAAAAAAGTGGTAGCTGGTGAATAATGATGTTTATAAGGTTGAGAAAGAGCCCTTAGAAATGGGATCAGACTTTGTAATTCTCTCAGAGTATAATTAACACAGAAGCATACTTTCTGGAAGAGGAAGAAAAATGGCTCATGTGACAAAAACGACCCTGTGCTGCCTCCTTCAGTCACCAGCAGCATCTAGGCCAAACCGAGGGTCAGTTCAGTTAGGAATTCCATCCACCAGAGAGCAGCAGTCCACCAGGATGGCTGGTGTTTTGTCCTGGTTTATTTTTGTGAGTTTGCACATTCTTAGAAGTGATCAGAACTAGAGTTCTCTATGCATGTGGCTTCCCAGCATGGGTTCTTTAACCGTGACAGGCCCTGCCAACTGCACTCAACCCAGCTGGGCACACAGGCCTACGGTCTACAGCGGAGGTTCTGTTGTGCTTCAGAAAGGTTCGCTGGAGTCCTGCTTGGAGAACACGTCAGTGCATCTACCTCAAAGTCTTACCTGTTTAGTCACTGATTTGAAAACTACTGTATTGATGCAGTAAGGTTAGAGCTTTGTTGACAGGATGGAGTTGAACGGCTCCTCTGTGTGGAACTTAACTGGACTCGGAACCGCAGGGAGTCTTTGTCTTTCTTTTTGGCACTTGAGCGAGTAGAGAATGTATATGCTTCTCATTAGGAAAATTCCAGCAATGACAGCAAAATAACACCCATAAACTAGAAACTGGAGAAAAGCAAATGATTAGCCACCTACAAAATCTGACGACCTATTGACTGATAATACATAATGAAGCTGTTGGTGTGCTTGGCTTTTTACGGGGTAACTAAGACTTAGTATTTTGACTGTGGGTTATTTAGATTGAATAATTATCGCCACTGTCTTAAAGGAATCAAATACAAAAAGGTAAGCAATGCTTTAAGAGTCTATGGCTTCAGAGCAGACCCTTAAGGTTCAAATCCTAGCTTCCATCATCAATAACCAGAAAGATACTCTACCTGTGTATCTGTATGTGTGGAACCTAGTAGAACGCCAAGTGCAGGGTCTCTAGATTGAGTTTTAGACACTGAGGCTACTTCTTACCTGCCTTAATCAGGTAAGGGTTGAAGTAGTTGCAATTTATTGCTCAAAACCCAGTTGGCATTATTGTATAATTGAGGAACTCTGTTTCAAAATTTGCTTAACTAAGAAATTCAAGAAAATTAAGTATTATTAATTGTAAGCTGGAGAAATCTTGGCGGGCATCTTGTTTGTTTACATTCCCAGCAACTCGGCAAAGCCGAAGCAGCGCAGCTTACCTGAATGCTGATTGCCAGGTTGAGACCTCTGGGATCCACGACAACCATCGTCATGATGGTCTGAATCACCAAGGCAATGAAGGTGTTTATTCCAAACACCAGGGCATAGCGCTCCACACTCAGGTTAACTGCAATCTGAAACCTATCATTAAACGGTCAATGAATACTTAACCATAACATACACAGAATTCTTATGTTTAAAAGGTAGAAACTGAAAGGAAAATAGTGTTGTTTGTGGTACTTGTTTAAACCTCCTCCTCTATAACCCATAGGCAGAGGACAGCAAAGGAACTAAATATCATTAAAAGTTGAATTAAAGGTAAAACAGCAAAACTACTAATATACTTTCCAGAATTGAACCATCAGTATTCTGAGTTATCAAAATTTGAGAGAGTAGGTGTTAATTTTATTTTATTTTAATTTTTTTTGTGGTACCGGGGATTGAACTCAGGACCCTGCGCTTACCCAGGCAAACACTCATTCTACTGAGCTATCTCCCTGACCCCTTTTAATTCGATTTTAGATATGGGTAATCTGGGGAAAATTTTTTAGTGTTATTCAGTTTATTGTCAGTTGCTTATAACACTGTATATTATTTGATTGTAGGTATGGTTACCAAGTCAGGGGGACTTGTTTTCCTAATCTTTAGTTTACTGTCACTTACTTCCACCATCAAAGTTTACTAGGGTGAATTATTCAAAATTGAATGAATCTGTAATTAATTTTTAATTATGTAGATTTTCGAAATCTTATTACATTATTCAAGTGCAGGTAAAAAGGCTTTGGTGCTCTGAATACTTTTTTTTGGTGGCTGGCTCAGCCTGCCTTGGGGGCGGGGCTTGCGTGGCCTCTGGTACTGGGATCGATCGTCCCTGCGCTTGCCTCAGCTTGCCTAGCAGGCGCTTTAGACCGCTGAGCTATCTCATCAGCCCTCTAAATACTTTTCAATACAAAGACAATATGGCATCCCCTGGAGCTTGAGCAGCTGCACGCATATATCAAAGACAATGGCCAAGAATAAATTAAGAGGGCAGAAGTCCAAGAATGTATGTCACATAGCCAGCCAAAAAACCTTAAGTCCAAAACCAAAGCAAAACCACTTACCACTAATCTTAAGAAGATAAACATTGTGAATGATGAAAAAGTACGCAGAGTGAATAAAACTTTTGTAAACATTCAGAAGGAACTTGCACCCTTCTTAAAATGGCTGACTCTTGAGCCTCATAAGAAAGAGCTGATTCATCAACCGCATCATGAAAATGAACCAGTTAATGTTGACGAAGCTACAAGCTTAATGGCTCAATTGTAATATGGTGGAGAGATGTATCAAATTAAAAAAAACTCAATAAAATAAGTATTTTATAAACACATACACACACAAAAACTTTCAATCCTCATCTTAAAAGAAGAAACTAAAGACATATGGACTTGATTCAGCAAACAAAGACAATTCAGTGAAAAAACCTGAAATGCCAACTCATTTCATCTTTTTCTTTTGCTTAGCGGTCTCTACCCTGGTGATCATATTTCTACACTTTGTTAGTTGTTTGTAATTCATTTTCTGCAAATTAAAAACAAATAAAACTTGATAAAGCTCATCTCTACTTCTTATATACAATCAGAAATTCAAGTGTTTATCTCTTTTGTTAATATGAAAGCGTATTTCCTCTACCCAACTTCAACTGCTTCTATGCAAACCAAGTGTTTTTGATCATTTTCTTCAAAAGCAGATGCAAAAATTCCACTGAATTCTTAATCCCAAAGTTGTTCCGTAAAAAAACGATTACAAACCAATTGGCTGCATGTATCAGCACAGCTACCAGATTCTTAAACTCTTTAGGTGCACTTGTTGCCAGCAACCCAACCTTTTACAAATTTTTAAGGCTATGTGGTTCACACAATAGTACGTGCTTAGAATTCCTCAAGCAGTTAAATGAAATAAAAGATGAAATCTAATTTAAAATTAAATCACATTATGCTTTGTTATGGAAAATTGTTGGAAATAAAAAAATCAAAAACCTTTCAATGTATCCTTGCTTCTGGTTTACCATGGAAAGCTGCTGGACATTTAAAAAAAGTCAAACCAGACAATATATTATTCCTTGTGGATTCTAATGTGTCAAAAATTTTCTTTTCCTTGATGACTAATTTTAGCAACAGTCAGAGAGCAATTACATTGAAAGATGGCATGTTGGGGTTTAATTTAATGGTGTTGACATTTAATATCACAGTTGATTCTGCATTGCAAAACAGAGCAGCAAGCAAGGGCTGGCGATACTCACACTGCTATGGTTATCAGAAGCATGTAGCTGGACTTGAATATCAAATACCCCGCGTAGCTCAGCCAGATGCTGAGTGTGTAATGCATGAGAAACAGGGAACCAGCACTGATGACCGAGAAGACTGCGAGGGCCAGCTCTCCCAGCAGGTCCCAGTCGACTGTCACATGGCCCACTGCAAAGGCTGCCAGCGCCCCTGAGAACGAAATCAAACATGCTGACTCTGCACACGGGGACTAGACTCACTCTCGTAAAAAACCCAGGTCTCGAGGTGTTCCAAAAGACGAATGTACAACTTTCACAAAACCTGGGATGCATCCAAATGAAGATTTGTCCTTTGCAGAGCCAGGTTTTTCTTCTTTTTAGCTCCTGTTTTTGTTTTCAGTTCCTTAACCATCTCATTTTCAATTACTATCAACTACAGATGGGGCACTACATCGTGTGGAAGGACCAGAAAGGCTCCTCCCTGGGAGCTAAATGAGACAAACAACACAGTAACGCAGCTGTGTCCTACAAGCAAACATACTATACAAGCACTTTAGCACTGAGACAAATCACCAGCCCTATTCATTTTTTATTGTCTGCTTTTTAGCAGTGGGCACCAGATACTTGCACTAAGAAGTCAGCTTTTGTCTTTATTAACCTTTAATAATTTTTTAAAAAAATGTATTTAGTACTGGGTCTACAGGTCTACACAGTGTCTCACTACACAGATTGGGCTTGTAGTGATTCTCCTGTTTTCAGCCTCCCAAGCACTGGAATTTCAGGCACGTGAAATCACACCAGTCTCAGTTGCTGTCTCAGCACATGCTAGGGGTGGGGCCAGCATGGCAAGGCACACCTAGGATCGAATCCTGGTTTCGGAGCCTGCTTAAGCAGGTGCTTTAGTCTGCTGAGCTATCTGGCTGGCCCAATCTTTAATAATCTTAATCTTCTTTTTTTTTTTTTTTTGTTCAGTGTTGGAGATCAACCAAGGACTCACACATACAGAGTAAGCTCCTGCCTCTAGCTGCACCTCTGGCTCCTACTATTAATGGCGCGTTTAATCTCTCCTGTAATATCCTCAAGACACACCTGATTACTTCTTGAGGCTCACAGTGAAAAGATCTACATTGATTTATGGAGTACAAGAGGTTGAGTAATTGACAATAATTAAAAAGCTATCAGTGTGGTTCTCTAGCCAAATGGAAAACACTGGGATCTCAAATGACTGCCAAGTGGATAATTAACTTTAGGAAAGAGCCACACCCACAAAGACTGATTGTCCCTGAGAATTGGGCGAGTAGGTGCAGTTGCTTTGGGGGACCAACTCACAGTCCTGGATTTTAGGAGGTACACAGAAGCTTCCCAAGAGAAACAATAATAAAATCGGGGTCACATGGGTCTTCTAAAACATTCTGTATATAAACATTTTGTAATAAGGGTGTGGAAAAAAAGACCCACTTCCTGAAAAATATCTTCAAAGTCTCACTTGACATTTATGTTGGCATTTTCTAGGATGTAAATATTTATCATCTGGTGAACTTCAAAGACAACTTTTCCTCTGCTATTAGAATCCTGACTCTTAAAGTGTCTTCTACCCCTTCTAGCATCTCACAAGAAAGCTATTTTTGAAAATGACTGGTTAGCCGAGGACTGCTAAAGGTGTGTCCTAGCTAGATCATAATATGACTCCCTCAGTAAGATTTTAGAAGCCTTATGCATTTCTTAAGGTAGCTAGCAGCTCCTCACTTATACAACATCTTCCTTACAGTATTAAGAAGACTCTTGAAAGAACACCACACACAGAGCTTGTGCTAATGAGGAAATGGGATCTAGAGGGTTCTGCTAGAATTTCCTTGGTCCTAAGCTCTGGGCTCCCCACTTTCTTGTGACTACAACACATTAATGCCATGGTACTACTTGTTTTTCAAGCACCTTCCATCTAAGAAAAAATATTTCTATTCCTCTGAACAGAGCTAATATACTGGTGGAAAAGTTTAGCATCTGGAGAAATGGGCTTGGTGGGGGCAGGGGGATGGATAAAGAGATATTAACTTACCTCCGAATGTTGCAATGGCTTCTACTGCCCCGTTATAGATGGAAGAATCTTGGGATGGTGCTTTGTAATCCCACAGGATCTGAACGTAATTCACAACTTGATTAAAGCCTGCAGTGGAAAGAGCCCACCACAGGGACCAGTAAGAAAGACGCTCCGAGGAGTAGCACTCCTTCAGATCTTGGAACCACTGCACAAAGTTCCTCGAAAGCACATTTCCAGTCTTTGGGCTGCCCAGGGGGCCGGCCCCCAGACTCCCAGGAATGCTGCGTGATTCCTGCTGAGCTGTTCCCTGAGCCTCCTGAGCCGCCCCAGGGCCGGCATCCTTCCCCGGGGGCTTTGGAGGACCTTCTTTGCTGGGTTTTGCATGGAAAAACATGCTCCTTTCAGGCATTGGTAGAAAAAGCGAGAAAAAGAAGGCCACAGAGACAGAGACCAGGGTCATGACATTGAGGTAAAAGTATGACAGGTTGGCCAAGGACACCAAGAGCTGGGCCAGCACTGAGGCCGCTGTGTAGGCCACCAGCGTGACGCTCCTGCAGTAGCCGCTCACCCGCTGGTAGTGCTCAGGGCTGACCACGCTGTATATGTAGGCGTAGTAGGCCACCTCGGTGGCCGAGACGATCCCGAAGACGAACTCGACGGCCTGCATGGCTCTTACTCCTTGGCCAAACAAGAGCAGCAGCCAGGTGACGATGAAGCTAAGGCCTTGTAGGAGGATGACCGGCTTGTAGCGCACGTAGTCGGTGAGGACAAACACGGGCAGCAGGAGTGCCAGGTAGGAGTAAGTCCACACAGGAAGGATCTCATTTGTGATCTGTGAAGTTGTGATAGTGTGACAGGGGATCCCCAGCACAGCTCTTGGCTCAAGTGGCTTCTACCCAGTATCTGCGTTTTATCAGCTATTCCCCACAGAACAGAAGGTGTGAGAAAAAACTGATTTTCAAAGAAATCATTAAAAAAAGAGTCCCTTTTCTCACTGGGGGAAGAAAACCTAAAACAAAATCACCCCCCATCCCTAGAAAGAAAAACAGTAAAGAAATCCAACCAATGTATTTCCTCTCTCTCTCTCTCTCTCTCTCTCTCTCTCTTTCTAATGTATTTAGCACAGGGTCTACAGGGTCCAACCAATGTATTTCTTCTCTCTCTCTCTCTCTTATGTATTTAGTACAGGGTCTACAGGGTCCAACCAATGTATTTATTTGGTTGTATCCCAGTACAAAGATATACTGGGACAATGTGCATTCTGAGCTATATTTTAAATTTAAATAGTATACACATTTGAATAAGTTAAGTTTTTATTTTATTTTATTTTTTTTGTGGAACTGGGGATTGAACTCAGGTCTTTGCGCTTGCCAGGGAAGCACTTTTTCTACGAGTAAGTTAAGTTTTATTGTAAACTTTTCAGACTCTTGTGGATTTCCCAAATTCCTAAAAGCCACCAGTTCCTTCTTGTTCAAAGAACACTGATAACAGGTAAAGGGCTTGCCCTGTTAGATGACCAGCCTTCCAGAGAATGAGGTAGGGCTGAGAGGAAAAGCTGTTCATGTCAAACCTCCTGCTAACTAGCAAGACTGACTCACAGCCTTAAAGAAATGCACTTAACCCCCTTTTTGTTTAGTTTTGTCAGAGATGGGTATTCCATTGCCATTCAAATATTGTAGGCGCATCAATTCAGCAAAATAAGTCAATATAGTCTAGGAGTCCATAATAGTAGTGGGTTATCCATGGAACTGGCAATGTCAGAAGTTGTTGACTTGATCCTTTTACAGCTCAGCATATTGATAAGCCTTTATTTTTTATACCTCTTGTTTATACTTTCCTGCTGGATTGTTAAGACCAAGATAAAACAAGACCTATATAACAAAAAATGTAACTTTTGTACTAATAGTGTTTAGACAAGATATCATGTCTATATCTTGTACTATGAATAACTACTACAAAGACAACAATATGCAATGTATTAATTATTGTAACTGTCCTACTAACCTGTTTTGAAACTGTCTCATTGCTATTTCTTTCTCAGTAAAATTAAAAAAAAAAAAAAAGAAATGCAGTTAAACACTGTTTCACAATGCAGGTTTGCTCCACCAGAGCAAAGGGGTCACTGGGCAAACTGTCTTCACTGACAACCTCGGAGTCTGCAAGCCAGACAGTACTGGTACATCTATGGTACAGGGCATATGAAAGCTACTGTCTGTTGTTCTTAGGGCCATGGGGAACAAAACAATGAATGATTAAAACACAAGAGAAAATATTGTACTGAAAGATATGGTCAAGATGAGATTAATGTAAACACAATATGCACAAGTTTGCTATTGTACTATGCATAGTGTTTCACAGTTAGTTTTAATTTTTTTACGTATTTGGTACAGGGTCTCACTATACAGCTCAGACTCATAGAGTGATCCTCCTATTTTTAGCCTCCCCAGTGCTGTCATTACAGGTGTGCACCACCATGCCCAGTCTCCTTGGCTGGCTCAGCATGCCTGGGGGTGAGGCCAGCATGGCACATGGTGCCAGGGATCAAACCCTGGTCTCTGTGCCTGCCTAAGCAAGTGCTTAGTTCACTGAGCTATCTCGCTAGCCCAGTAAGTTTTTATTTTAACAGATAAGAGGAGTACACTCCAAGACAATAGTAAAATGTACAGAACAGTAAGTACATAAACCAACAACATTCATTGGTCATTATTACCAAATATTACATACTGTACACAGTGGTGTATGTTCTATTGTCATGTGAGTGGCCACACAAATTTGTTTATCTTGACATCAACGCAACTGTGTGGAATGCATTTTGCCATGCTTTATTTATTATTTATTTTTTGTGCTATGATTTAGGTGGCCTATGATGTCATTACATAATAGGAAGGTTTCAGCTCCCTTACAGTCTTATGGAATCACCACTGTCACATTGAGGGCTGGAGAATCATCATTATGTGATGCATAACTGTGTATTCATAATAACTGGCATAATATGCATGATTGTTCTTTATTAGATGCTGTTTATAGCTTAGATGTCCACCAGTTTATTAAATTTTATGACCGGAATCAGTATTATTTTAGGATAAATATTATAGAAGCAATGGAGGCCTGAAAGATTTCTCTGAATTAGGAATACTGTTAAGACTCAATTAAAGTTAAGGTATTTATTGTACATATAACGTATTTTGGTTGCCCATTTTTGCAATGTAAGGAAGAAACAGTAATTCTATTATGAGAAAAATATTATGAAAATTGGACCTATTAGGGTCACAGGAAGCTCTCTATCCTTGTTCAAGTGCTATAAAATTAATCGACATTAATTCATGGGTATGTATCAGCTTACCTCTGTACTGGTCAGGTTTTTATTGGGTCCAGATAGATATGGAATGAGGAATGGTTCTGATGGTCTCATTAGGGAGAAAAATCCAAATAAGCAGAGGATCACTGTGGGAAAAATCCAGGAATTGCTTTGTGAAGTTCTAGAAGAATCCATAGCTAATTACATGGAAATAAAGCAAAAATTAAATGATTACTCTTCTTGGTATGTCAGATATAATGAAAAACTAGTTATTGCTATTTTTTTCTGGTGCTAGTGATCAGATCCAGGTCCTTGACCATGCTAGCCCAGTGCTCTATCCCTGATCCATCTCAGCCCCTAAAAATGCTGTAAAAAAGGGTAATATTTCATTCACTGCCAATTGAAACCAAAAAAAGAAAGCGATGAAAAACTGCTCTCAAATACTCCTTAGGTTAACGAACTTCTTTCTGATTATTGTTGGAGGAACAGGCAGCCATACTGCTTTAGCATTTTCGTCATCACAAACGTGGCTATGTGTAGCTAATAATTAATGATCAGCAATGAGCCAAGGTACCCTTAAGCCCAAGTAAAACATTAGCTGACTGAACTCGATCAAACATCTTACCATCTCTTCACTCCATCCTGCACCAATTCTGAAACTTACCAAAGGTAAAATCTGTTTACTTACACATTCACCTCCTCGGTGCTTTGCCTAACACTTTGCTGGACACACAGTAGACAGCTGAGGTATTTACTAGGCACCTTCAGTCTGCTAGGAATTCATAATTCTTCAGTTAAAATATTAAGGTAGGGGTCTGAATTTTTTCAACTCTCTGTATGTTCTAGATCAGAGTCCGATGTCTGAGAGACAACTGGGTAAAAAATTTTCCCACTCTGTGGGTTGTCTTTTCACTCTACTGATGATTTCTTTTGCTGTGCAGTTTTTTTTTTTTTTAAATAAGATGAGATCCCAGCTGCTGATTTTTTTGTAGCATTTCCCATGTAATCTGGGTTTTGTTCATAAAGTCTCTAGTTACACCTATGTCAAGATTTTTACCTATTTTCTCTTCCAGCAAATTTACTGTTTCTTTCTTTCTTCCTT